TCGGTGTTGAAGACTTGAAGTTCCAAGTGTTTGACGCCATCATCAAATCAATTGTTTTCTATGCCAAAATTGTAGGAAGCACCCTGTCGATTGGAGAACAAGTCTTTTCGGCCCTTCAATTGAAGCTATTCGAAGAAAAGAATCAGGGGATTAATTTCTTTGATTCAAGAATTTTCAGAGATTGTAACCCGCTTATTATTTGATTTAATCAATTTGATATTTGTGCGAGTTTTCTTGTCTTTTATTTCAGGCAACAAAATTTGTGCTTACAGACGGCTTTCAAAAATTTTGTATGTATTTCTGGATTACTAACTGCGCAGATATCACTACTTATCCACTTCTTTGATGTTTCTTGGACACTGGTGTAGTGATCTTGCTCTCCCCGTCAGTCCCCTTGTCAAAATTGCGGGGGAGTCAAGTGGATGCTGTAAAAGAATTGAGAGTGGTCAGTTTCTTGACTACTAACAAAACCACAAACTAGAATAGAATTAGTGGTTTGACAAAAACACAGATTTTCTCTGAGACAGCGAATTAAGATCAATTGTCCAGAAGAATTATAGTCTCATTTGTCAAGGACTTCTCATTCGAGAGGACAACAGCAGCAGCACAGGTTATTGGCAACAACAGAATACTTTATTGCACCACTGAAAATTCAGCCCATAAAAACAAGGAAAGTTAACAAGAGACTAAACATGATCATCCATATGAAGTCATGTTCCAGTAGTACAGCACAATTCCTAATCTGATCTTAGAAGCCAAACATAACTACATATCCAAAACAGAAGATAAATCTTTCAACAGTAAAGCTGGGCCTTCCAACTTCAAACAATCTTGACCTCAATAACCTTGGGCTTCTTAGGCTCAGGAGGGGGCAATTTGTGGACGGTGACAGTCAATACCCCATCTTGGCAAACAGCAGAAATTGCATCGGTATTGGCGTTCTCCGGTAGCACGAATTTCCTCATGAACTTGCCGACCCTCCTCTCCATCCTCACGTACCTGGCACCTTCTTTCTCCTCTGCCCTCTTCCTCTCTCCGCTGACAACCAGCACATTGTCATCCTCCACCTGAACCTTGATGTCCCCCGATTTCAACCCGGGCATATCCACAATGAACACGTAGGAATTGGGATACTCCTTCACGTCGGCAGGGGTGGCGGCCATGGCCTTGGCGTCTCGGACGTAGGTCCTTGTGGGTGCATTGGCAATCTTGTCTCCATCATCCGCGGCGTCAATTAGGTGGTGGAGGGCGTTAACCAGTGGAGCGTCTAAGCCCAGCAGTCTGACGTCCATTTTTCTCTCCGTGCTTGATGATTTGAGATGGGGATATCTTTTTCCGAATTTTGATTCCGAAAGGGATTGACAATGATTGTGTATTGGGTGGTTTTCTCTGGGACCTTTTTTGCTCAGTCGTGATGGTAGAAGCGATATTTCTGGCAGATATATATAGGTGGCGGAAGGTAGAAAACTGGAATTCGGAAGTTTCTAGAAGGGAAAAGAAGAAGAAGGAACCATGGAAATGGAAGGCTTCTAGAAGGATCTGCTTTGAATGGGTTTGAACTTTGAAGTTCTACAAGGTCCCAGAATGTAACGGATCTTCTGTCCCACACTCTGTGTCACACTCTATTCCACTTTTTGTTATATTGCTATTTTTCCTACATAAACATCATGTTTTAGCTCTTTTTTGTCTTCTTAAGATCCAATAACTATTAATTGAGTAATACACACAATTTAACAAACTCAAAAAATCAAAATGCATAAAAAAATGAGATTTTTTATGAATTTTTTTGCTATATTTTTTAATTTTCTATTATATATTGGTTTTTTGAAACTGCTGTATTTATTTTTTACTCAATTACTAGTTATTGGATCTTAAAGAGACAAAAAAGAGCTAAAACATGATGTTTATGTAGGAGAAATAATAATATAATAAAAAGTGGAACAGAGAGTGACACAGAGTATGGAACAGAAGATCCGTTGCGGTCCCAGAACGTGGCGGAATCATTTTTCATTTGGGATAATTCCGGAAACCACTTGATTTTTCTTACAATTTCACTCGGTTCTCCTTAGGCTTATGTAATTATACTTGTCACACCTTAATATAGCAAAGTACCTCTGATTCTCTTCACTGGTAAACAATTCATAGTTTAAGGCAATAAATTTATCAAATCCAAAAAAAAAATCCTAATTTTCTGTCTTGTGTTTATTTTTGTTAACCTCTTTCTAAGATATTCTACTGCTATGTTATTTTTTTATTATCTTTAGTTTTATGGATATTATCAAATTGAAATTACAAAATTAACAGAGGGAGCAAATTATTTGTCAAACTAGAAGAAAATGAAAAGATCTGCGGTGATAGAGAAATAAAGAATGAAATTAATGATTGAAATAAGAAGAAGCTCCAAAGATGTGGAATTTATAATATTTTGTCTATTATCAAGAATTTTTTTATAAAATGTCAATAATTTGCTTAAGGATGTCTTTTATTATATTTGTAATTAATAGTTATGATTTTATTGTGGAGGTAGAATTTCTTATCTATTTCTTATATATTAATATTTTTAAGGATATAGGAGTGCATTAATGGTAGTTCTAGATTAGACTAAAGATGCTTTTGATAAAACTGAAGTATGAAAACTGAAATATAAAATACGAAATTTGAATTTATTAAGTTATTGAATTGATAAATATTAAATTAGATACACTTGAGTGTATGTCACATTCAGTGATAAGTAAATAACTTATCACTTATTTTTTTGAGCAAGTTTTAAATAGGAAATTTAATGCTACTTAATAAATTTAGATGTTTAATTTTTGATTATCAAACAAATCTAATCATATTAACTTCTAAATCCATTAAATTTAAGTATTAAATTGGGTTATCAAATAGGGTCTAACTTGTATTGGAGAGGTGTTAGGGGCAATGAGATTTAATTTTAAGGTATAAAATTGGTTGTCAATGGGGTGAAAGGGTGTGTGTGCATGTGTAATTTTTTTTCGTGACAAGTGTTGATAATGTATATGCAATTTGAAATCTTTTGGACGGCTATTTGGATTTGTAAGTGGAGTTTATGCTTGAGTAATTATTGGTGGTTAGAATAATGGATTTTGTACATAGTGTGGAAGAAGGTGATACAGTATATTGTATTTTTCTCTTTTAATTTTGTATCTAAGGGTAATTTAGAATTTTTGAGAATAATCTAACTTATTGAACCTATATTATCATATAAAGAGAAATTTATTTGAGTAGTCACTAAACTTTTTGAATAGTTGAGTTTTGGCCACTCAACTATTAATAATACGTTTGTATCCACTAAACTATCAGAAGTGTAAATTTTGGATCACTTCGTCTAATTTTACCGTTAATTTTGTCATGTCCAACTATTAATAGTATATCTCTTCAAACGTGCGAACCCTTATATTTGACAGAATTAACGGTGGAATCAAACGGAATAACTCAAAGTTTTTACTTTTAATAGTTCAATGGGTAAAAATATACCATGAATAATTGAATGGCCAAATTTTGACTATTCAAATAGTTCAGTGGCTGCTCAAATAATTTGCTCTTATATAAATAGTAAAAGTATGCAAATTATATGTAATTTTTAAATTTTGAAGGGAGCTTTTTGTAACTATTAAAAATCTCAAGTGATGTTTGTGAAATTATCCCTTTTCATTTTGCATGCTGATTACTTCACTTCTTGCCTATTTCTGGGTTTATCCTTATTTTTAGCATTTTTTTTGCCCATTAAGTGCAGGACACAAGTGTTTCTTGATGGATGCTTAGTCAAAACTGCCAAAAATTGACTGATTGCATGCAGTTCAGTTTTACCTTTTTTTTAAATTTATTTTTATTTTCTTTTTTGTACAAGTAAAATTTTAAACTTACAAATGAAAATTTTAAAATGTTTTGTTATGGAATAAAAATTTGATCGAAAGATGAACCAAACCGAAAGCAAAAGATTGAAGAGTGCAAAATTTATTACTATATGGGATGAAACAAAGAAAAGAAATACGGCAATTGAATCCATTGATACCATGCTTCGGACAATCCTTTTGGTGGAAAAGTCTTGGTTTACTGCCTCCAAGACAATGCAGCCCAAAGACCATACTGTACCACTAGCAGCCCAAAAGAGCACAAGAAATCTTGAAAGTTAGCTGCAATATTGAGCTAACTTAACTACGTACGCAGGTTAAAAGAGTTTGGCAGCTTATGAGGCCATCAATTTCACTCATCCTCCTCCATATTAACTGACTTGAATAGGTGAATTCGACCCCTAAACACATTAGTCATAGAAGATGATTCTGGCTAGTCTAACTCTTTTAACTCTAGCAGGACAACTAATTAATCAAACCTCAATGGATACTCAAAGAAGACAACCCTCCTCCGACCTTTTTTGGTTCCAGTCAAAGACTCTCAGAGATACATGACCAGTATACAGCCAATTATTGGTCCATCAAGCATGGGTTCAACCAGTTCTGGTGGTTATACGACCATGCACCCAATGCTTGAACCATTTTATCCGGGCTTTCCAATTAGATATTGTGAGAAGAATTTACGGCTTCAACAAACAAAAGTTTTGAATGCGATGATTTATTATATCTTGTGCAGAAGAAAAAATATATTATAATGATTTGATATATGTGAGATAAAAAAAAATTAATAAATGTGTTCATGGAAAACTTTAAAAAAATTTTTGGAGAAAAATTACAATCCAAACAGAGGATAATTTATTACGGCAGTATATGGAGAATAGGATTCAGAGTTTGATTTATTCATTGCTCAAACTTGAAATTAATATGTGGTAGTAAAATGGATACCCTGAAACTTTAATTAATGGCGTTACATTACACTGTTTAAATGCAAAATGACAACTTTTGGGCAATCCACACCGCACGACGCCACACCAAATTGCTTGGTTGGCGTGACTATTAATTGTCCAATTGAATTGGCATTGGGAAAGCTAACAAGCACTACACATGAGCAGCAGCAGTATCAAGTCAACTACTACTAAGGATTGCCGGGGGCATCTCTGCATAATTAAGCTGTACTGCGGTTTCCTTCTTGAGCCTCTTCCGAACAACTGCGATAACCAGTATCCCACTAACAGCCCAAACACCATAGACAAGTATGATTTCCGTCCAATCCGGGCTTCGTCTTATTTTGAAGCCTTTAGGGTATAGCATAAGGATTGATATGTAATAAGCAGCCGCTAGTGTGAGAATTGCTAAGTGGAGGAGAAACGACAGCAGAAACAGAGCCAGCCATCCAGTAAACTCACAGATGGTGATGAAGATTGTCAACAGAGCTGCCACAAAGGCCGTTGTGGATGTGACAACGAAAAGGTCATATGTCTGGGGACGAGTGTGTGCCATTACAGCTTCTCCTGCTCTGCGTGGATTTGGCACTGGATTACCATGTGAATCTGCTATTAGGTCGTCTTGCCAAGCTCCTCCTGGAGGGCTTATTGCAGCCTGAAAAGCCATTGTCGCAATAATTGAGCATGCCACCTGTATCCAACTACGATGCTCGCGTACTAAATCCTGTAATCCTGTAGAAAAGTCGCTTGTCTTGGCGGCAGCAACTTTGAGACATCGTGCAATTTCCGAATTGATATTGCCAAGTCCGCGTAAGACGTCTAACGCTGATTTTCCATTTGCGTCCCTGGCATTCACTTTTACTCCGATCTCCTGCAATATGTACTTCACAGTCTGCATGCAAATTTTTTTCAGCTTGTTTGTTAGACTGGCTGCTTAAGGACTCATAACCAAGTACACAAACTAGGCCAGTTAAGGTCACAAGTTGCCAAATTTCCAATTGTATATTTATGTGATTGGATTTGATAAAATAGATTGCTAGCAATTTAAAGTTTCATTCGGGATCACTGCATTAAAATTTTGCGCCAAATAAAACTGGATCATAATTTCAATTAAGCCAGCGTGATTTTAAACTTGTTAAAACTGTGCAGTTCTTGGAACAGGTTTTAGAAAAATTTAATGCTATTTTCTGTTTCAAAATATGTTTTGAAAAGATTGGAAACTTTATTACTTAGTACCTGAAAATTGCTTCTTGGAATTTTTGTCATTCAGAGTAACTCTTAATCCAAAAGAAGATGTAACATTTTTCTTTTTTTCTGGACTAGTGCAATTTATGCACACAACTTAGCCTGTCTTGTCTCCGTGTGCTTGGATGGTTAGGTGTGATCAATTTCCAGAGAAGGAGAACAAACGGAAAAAGTAGGTAAAATTGAAAGAACAAAAGAAAAAGAATATGAGAAAAATAATAAGAGAAAGCATGGAAGAAAAACTTGGAAAGGGCAAATAACACTATAAATTTGCTTGACGGGGAATAATACTACAGGAAAAGTCTGAAGTAACGATCGTTATGGTAACGAAACTGTTTTTACCTGATACAACAGGTAAAAACACTTTTAGCGACCATTTGATTATCTGTTGTACTGGTCATTTAAATAAAATGGTATCTAAAATTTTGGTTAGTAAGTTTTACATAAAAAGTAGTAAATTAACTCAATAAATGAGTAACTTTTATGTCTCAAAAAGTAAATTTGAATAAATATGGAACTTACTTTTTTTTTGAAGTAAATTACTACTCTATATCCAAAACTTACTTTTTGGAGAGTAAGTTTAGTTCAAGTAATAGTAAGTATTAAAATAATTAATATTAACTTTAGTAAGTTTTTAATTAAAACTAGTAAGTTTATGCCTAAAAGATAAGTTTTAGTCAGAAATAGAAATTTACACTTTGAGTAATTTAATTTACTTATTATTTGACAAAATTTACTTATGTTTAAATAAAACTTACTAATACTAAAAGTAAAAAATGTTCATATTTAAGTAAAAAAGTTACCAGTTTCTGAAAATGGTTTTGGGTTCCTGAAACACTTTCGGGTATCATCTCTTTAAAGTCATCTGCCTTCTTATTACTTAGTTCTCAGTTCCAACGATACGATTGAATTCCCAGGCAAAGGTTCCACTTTGGTCCACACTTTCTCTTGGTTACAATTGAATAAATTTTCTCACTTCAAAATTTTCATCTTCAGTTCCCACTTTCCCTCTATCCTTTCTCATCCATCGGTTGTTTTTGGGTGCTGCCATATATGCAGACACAATAAAAGGGTTAGCGACGGTGGTAGCCGACCAAAGAGCATATGAAAAATAGCAGTGACGAGGTTCGACCATCATGTCCTCTTGAAATTGTTTGATTATATTGCTGTAATTTATTTATATTTCATTTGTTTTGTTTGTCAAGATTTTCTTGTGAAATCAAGGCTGAGAATTTGAAGATTTTATTGCAATTTTGGGGCTGAAAATGTCCACTGAAACATCTAGGAAATGGTTGTAGTTTTGATTGTCTACTGGTAAAATATGCTTAATAGCCATATGAAACATCTAGGAAAGGACTTGAGACTAGGCCTTTAAGTTAAATGTGATTAATTTGTGAATGCATATAAGATGTTTGGTGAAATGTCAAAGAGAAATCTGTGTGTTATGATTGCTACTCTGTGCTCTTCAGCAGCCAGTGATGAGACCAGTTCTTAAAGAAATCACCCTCGTCAGTCGACAGCAGTGCTCAAGATCACCCTTGGGATTGGCTAAAAATAGACCTATTTCTGTTGGAAACTAAATAATCATATTAGAGACAGTGATTTCATCTTCCTTGTACCTGCTTTCTTCCTCTTCTTCCTCTTCTGTTTTTCCCCCATTTTGTCTTATGGGTTTTTCTAGCTTTTTTTTTTTTTTTGTTGTTGTTGGGGTTAATCAGATGTACATATTTAGATGAGAAGCACTAATACTCTCTTTCCAGTCTTGTTTGTGGCGATGGGATGAGTGCAGCTTCATCAGTTTCTTATAATATAACTTGAAATTTTGCAGAGAGGGATAAGATATTAATATACCTCCTTCAATTTTGCATAAAGGGATGTTTTCCTATCTTCCTTTTTTCCTTGATTCTGCCTTTTTTGCCTTTTTAATTTCTGGTGTTCCAATATATATATATATATATATATTTTAAGCTTTAAGTTCTTGAATCTAAGGTTGTGATTTTGCTGCCTCCTGATTCTTCCTCCAACCGACAAAACAGAGGTCCTTGCCGTTTTCTTTGTTTTTTTATTTTTTTTGTCCTTTATTGTTGTGGCTGTTTTGCAAAACGTGGAAGTTAAGGTCCCCTCAAGGGTGGGTTTGGCCGGTGCAATTCAATACTAAGAAATGAAAATCAGTAGAAATGACTTGCAGACAATGACTATCCATTTCCTGGAAAACGGTTTTGTCTTTTTTCTCTGGATATTTTTTGATCTTTCATTTTTTATTCCCACTTGAAAAATGAAACACATTAATTGTTAGTTATCATATTGTCTCTGGTTGGCTGGTGCTTAAATTTTAAAAATAGAAGTCATTAATCAGACTTTGATTTTTCTTTTCTATTAATTTTCGATATGTATAAAAATTACTGCAATTATTTTCTATTAAAATATGCATAAGTATCCGTAAACTGGACAATGCTACAGTGCCTATAGTTATGGTTTATATCTACTAACGAATAAATTACCTATGTTTTGAACAAATCAAACCTAGACTTATGGTATGATATGTATATAGTTGCTCACATTTATACTTATGCCATCATCCTTTCTTCAACTTGCTTTTTAATAGTGCAAATTTCTTTTGATTATATTTAGGGGTGGTAATTTTCGATACGTCCTGAAAACACGATATGAAACTAACACGAAATTAATGGGTTCGGATTGAGGTTTCGCAGGTCCAAATCAGAATCGAGTTGAATCCGACGAACCCGAAAAGAAAACGGGTCAAATTCGGGTCAAACCGTGGGTGATCCGATACGACCTGATAACCTGTTTATGAATTAAAAATTATTTTATCTAACTAAACTAAGTTATTCCTTTTTTCCAAAGGCATTAATCACTTAATCCTAAATGAATTTATTTAACTTATTTGAAGTTAAAATTATTATATTTGGACAAATAATGTATTATAGTATTTTTTACTTTTATACTACTTTAATTTATTTTATACTTGGTTTGGAATAAAACACTTTTACGGTGTTTTTAATTTATTTTAGATTTGGTTTGGAATTATTTATTTAAATTTTTATTACTTGATTATGTAATTAGTCTTGTGCGAATTAGAAATTACAATGGTAAATTAATAAATTAAAATTAAGTTTTGGGTCATTCGGGTCGTCCCGTCAACCCGACAACCTGAAATTTTCATATTTGGGTCAGATATCCTGACCCATTTCAGGTTGGTGGGTTAGGTTCGGATTAGCGAGTTTTCTATTATACTTGGGTTTCATCCTAACCCGCCAATCTGATTTGTACCCGATTGCCACCCCTAATTATATTGGTAAAAAAATAACATATTTTACAAATTATTCCAATTTATTTAGAAAATGTTACTAATTTCATTAGAAATTATGAAATGTAATCATGGTTTATTAATTTTTTACTAAATATAAATACTACATACAAAAGGAAAAGATATTTGACTTTGTTTTACTTTGATTAGAAATACTTGTGGTAGTAATAACGAAATAGTGACAAGGGTGCAAATTTCAAATCAACAACCAACGTACACTTAATTACGATAATTTTTTAGTTGATCAAACTAATATATGCCATAAAGTAGTAAGATTTGATCATTTATAAATTGACAATTTTAGCAGTTTATATACCATTCACCTATAAAAAATTATGATTATTATAAAATGACATTTTATAATAATTTACATACTATTTGCCAATTAAAAGTAAGTTTGATAAAAAAATGTGCATATAAATCCATATTGTAAATGATACAAAATATATTTGAAACTCACGAAACTTAATATATGGGTAAATTTACTATAGTTTTCAAAGATTATGCTACATTAGTACAAATTTAACTTTTATACTTGTGACCTAGAAAATAAATTTATTAGAACACATAACATTTATAAATGATACATACATTTATTAAAATGCTTAAAACACATAACATTTATGAATGATACATACAATCATATATTATACATTTACGTTACCAATAATTACTAACTATAATATTAAGTTTCAATCATTAATAAAAAAATCTTAGCATTATTTTAAATAAACTTCCTAATACTTGTTTCATATAAGTTTCTTTAAGTAAAATAGTAAATTTATGCCACAAACTAGTAAATTTTGATGATTAACCAAATTTACTATTCTATCAACAAGATTTACTATTAATCCATAAAAACTAACTATTACTTGAACTAAACTTACTCTCCAAAAAGTAAGTTTCGAATATGGAGTAGTAATTTATTTTTTTTTAAAAAGCAACTTTCATTTTTATTTCAATTTACTTTTTAAGACATAAGTAGGATAACACTTATATGACCATTTTTTATTTACTTTTAGCGACCATTTGATTATTTGATAGGCCTATTCACCTAAATAGGATAACACTTAAAAATAAGAAAGTAAGTTTTCTATCTAAAATAATAAGTTAACAGTAATAAATTAGTAACTTTTATACTTCAAAAGGTAAGTTGGAATAAATATTAAACTTACTTTTTAAATAAATAAATCACTACTTTATATCCCAAACTTACTTTTTAGAGAGTAAGTTTAATTCAAGTAATAGTAAATTTTTATACATAAATAGTAATTCTTACTAATAACATGGTAAATTGATTAATAATCAAAACTTACTGATTTATGGGACAAATGTACTATTTTATTTTAAAACATATTTCAAACTAGTATTAGGAAATTTATTTGAAATAACGATAAGATGTTTTATTAATGATTAATTCTTAGTATCTTAGTTAGTAAGTACTCATAATATACCTGTATAATACATGATTATAGGTATAATTTAAAAAATTTATTTATATATTTTAAAATACTATGAAAAATAGTTTGACTTTTCACATAATCTTGTAAAATATGTAATAAAATTTTGTCGTATTATAAGCTATTAATCATTTTCAATTTTTGAAAAGTTTGAAAGTTTGAATAACAATAACAACAAATCTCCCTAGTTATATATAGAATATTACTTGTTTATATATCAAAATTTTTATAGTTTAACACCTATGAATATAATAAGATGATAAAGTTTTAATAAATTTACATCTGAGACACAAGAAATAATAAGAGTAAAAGCCTAAACAAAATGAAAAATAATATAATAATAAAAATGACAAAATTAGTATAACAATTAATATAAGAAAATCAGTATGATCTGGATTTTTTCCCTTGGGAGATTGTTCATAAGAATAGGATCCAATAATTATAAATGAAAATCACATGCATATATAATCTATTGTATAATTTATATTAAATTTAGTTCACCTATAAAATGGTCCTAAAATAATTAGTACACTATGATATTTGTTATTTTAACAACAAAAATTTTTTTTACTAAAAGTCTGAAATATCCATGACATATGTATGAGGGATATTTTACCATATTTGTATCTCACATCTAATCATGAAAGTTAATTTGAGAAAAAATATTTTTGACAATAGAATTATTTTGAATTTAACCAACAAGTTGAGATTTTTTAAACTTTAAAAGTGAAATATTTTGGGAACTTAGTTGTTTATTTTCCCATAATTAAAAATTTAAAATATGACAAATTATTCTTACATATTTTATAAGGTCATATGCAAAAAAAAAAAGTTTTCATAGTATATTTAAAATGCTTCAAACATATAACATTTATAAATGATACGTACAATTGTGTATCATATATTTACATTGCGAGTAATTACTAACTATAATACTAAGCTTCAATTATTAATAAAAAATCTTAGCATTATTTCAAATAAACTTCCTAATACTTGTTTCATATAAGTTTCTTTAAGTAAAATAGTAAATTTATGCCACAAACTAGTAAGTTTTGATGATTAACCAAATTTACTATTCTATCAACAATATTTACTATTAATCTATAAAAACTTACTGTTACTTGAACTAAACTTACTCTCCAAAAACTAAGTTTCAGATATAGAATAGTAATTTACTTTAAAAAAAAGTTAGTTCCATATTTATTCAAGTTTACTTTTTGAGACATAAAAGTTACTAATATATTGAGTTAACTTACTATTTTTTATGTAAAACTTACTAACCAAAATTTTAGGTACTATTTTATTTAGATGACCAGTACAACAGGTAATCAAATGGTCGCTAAAAGTATTTTTACCTGTTATATCAGGTAAAAATAGTTTCGTTACCATAACTATCGTTACTTCAGACTTTTCCGCATAAATATTGGGTCAATAGGGGAACGTGCCCTACTGGTTGAGTCTTGAGACTTAACGGACGTCACGCACTTATTGTCAAAGAAGACAAGATTAGAAGTCTAGCCATCGTATCATGAACGATGAAGTATGCAATGCTAACGCTAGCATGCTTATTTTGACTTTCCGAAGAGGCTGGAGATTTCTTCAACACCAATTTATTACGTACGGCCATATGATGGAGAATAGGATTCATCATTTTTTATTTATTCGCTGCTCAAACTTGAAATATGTGGTAGTATAAGATGGATTATAGCAGATATCCTGAAAGTTTAATCAGCAGCATTACACTGTTTAAATGTGAAAGGGTGACGCACCACACCCCATGGCCATTTGGGGAGTTCCCGATTAAGAATGGCACCAAAGATTACTTAAATCCAGAAAGCTAATAAGCACTACACATGAGCAGCAGCTGAATCCCGAGGTTCTCCTAGATGATTAAGCTGTACAGGATCTTTCCTCTTGAGCTTCCTCCAAACAACTGCGATAACCAGCATGCCACCAAGAAGGCAAACACTACCATACAGCAGCACCAATCCAGCCAGAGCTGTGCGCTGACTTCTCTTTTGTGTGAGGCATTTAGGGTATACCGAAATGATGGATATATAATGAGTTGTCGTTAGTGTGACAATTGCTATGTAGAGCAAAAGCGACAGCAGAAGCCGAGCTAAACTTCCTGTAAAATCACAGATGGTGATGATGATTGTCGACAGAGCTGCCCAAAAGGATATTTGGCTTGTGAAAACGAAAAGTTCATATCTTCGGGGATGAGTATATGCCATTATGGCTTCTCCTGCTCTGTGTGGATTTGGCACCGGGGTACCATGTGAATCTACTGTTAGATCGTCTTGCCAAACGCCTCCCGGAGGGCTCATTGCAGCCTGAAAAGCCATTGTTGCAATAATTGAGCATGCCACCTGTATCCAACTACGACTCTCGGTTATTAAATGCTGTAATCCAGTCGAAAAGTTGCTTGTCTTGGCCCCAGTCGTATGTCCAAGACGTGCCAATTCAGACTTGACATTGTCAACTCCGCTCTTCTGCAATATGTACTTCACAGTCTGCACGCAATTTTTTTTTCAGCTTGTTTGTTAGACTGACTAATCAAGGCCTCGTAACCAAATAGACTAACTAAGCCGATCACGTTAGAGTCAGAACTAGCAAACTCGCTGGAGTACAAGAGTGGAATTAATTATAGGGTTAATCACAGAAACTCCCCCCAAGGTATAGTCATTTTTGCACTTTATCCCCTAACATTATTTTTTTTCACTTTATTTCCTAAATAGTTAATCAACTCTAACGGTGTGTAGTGATAATATTAATGTCAAAAAGACATTTATACTCCTAAAAATTAACTATATTAAGTCCCCTTAACACATTGCTTGTTTTGCACTTTATCCGTTAACATCATTTTTTTTTCCAATTCATTTGTTTATTACTAAATTTGTTAGTGAGCTCCAATATTTGATAGCACCCAACACAAATAATGTCTAAAAAATTAATATTCTTTACATAATAATAAAAAAATAATATTTTCATAGATATGGTCCTTTGGACATTTCTCCTATGCAACGTTAGAGTTAACTAATGATTTACGATATAAAGTGAAAAAAAAAAAAGTTATGAGCAAAACTGGTTATACCTTGGGGGCAATTTTTGTAATTTACCCTTAATTATAACTCTAAATGATAAAATAAGAAAAAGGATCTTGTAAACAAGTTTTGTCTGTTGAAGATGGAATAAATTCAAAAGGTCTAACGCGATTTTCCCCATTTGCATTCTTTGTTGTTCAATTCCACTCTAGTGTCAACTAGCACGTATTTGGTGGTCTTCATTTGCCAATTTTGAAACTGGTGAATTAGAGCAAAGATTCAAATGTATAGTTGTTTATTGGATTTGATAAGTTACACAGACTTTCTTGAAGTCCAATTGTATATTTATGTGATTGGATTTGGAAGAACAGATTGCTAGCAATTTAAGGTTGTGTTTGGATTGTATTTTCCGTGATTTTTCATGGAAAAATTACTGTAGCGATTTGATGTATGTGAGGGAAAAAAGGTAATAGGGAAATGTGATCACGAAGAACGATGTAATTTTTTGACGGAAATCGGCAATCCAAACAAGGCCTTAGTTTCATGCGGGATCACTACGTTAAAATTTTTGTGCCAAATAAGACTGTATCACAATTTCAATTAAGCCAACGTGATTTGCTGCTTGTCAAAGCTATACAGTTCTTGGAAAAATTTAATGCTGATTTTTGTTTCAAAATATGTTTTGAAAGGATTGGAAACTTTGGTGCTTAGTACCCGAAAATTGCTTCTTGGAATTTGTCTTTCAGAGTAACGCTTAATCCAAAAGAAGATGTAATTTTTTTTTTTTTGTTGGCTATAGGTGTCAATTTCTAGAGAAGGGGATGCTGGAGATCAAACGGAAAAAATAGGTAAAATTGAAAGAACAAAAGAGAAAGAATATGAGGAAAATAATAAGTAAAAACATGGAGCAAAAACTTGGAAAGGGCAAAATGACGTGAAAGAAACAACAAAACACTCTAAATTTGCTTGACGGGCAATAATGCTATATCCATGTTTGACCCCAAAAAAAATGAAAAAGGGAAGAGAATAATGCCATACCTTTGTTATTGTTCATTTTTTCCAAAAAAAAAAATCCTTCTCAACAAAAACTAGAAAAATAAAAAGCGTTACAAAAGATAAAAAGAGAGTAAAGAAATAAAAAATAAAAAAAACTTATCCATAAAATCAATGAAAAAAGAAAGAAAAAAATTTACCTCATGTTGCTTATAGTACATGGCCAGGTGCAATATGGTCATGCCATCCTCATTTTTTGTATTCTCAAACTCTGGATGTTTTAATATGTCGACCAGCATCTTCAATGCTTCCAGCTGATTATATATGATGCAGAGGTGCAAAATGGTTCCTCCGCCATCTGTCTTCTCCAGAGCTGCTTGAAATCCGACGCGAATTAGCACTTGCAAGACTGCCACTCTTCCATATATGGCAGCAAGATGTAAAGGGTTTCTGCCATCTCGATCACGAGCCAAACACATAGGATGAGCAGAATTAGCTTGAGATCCTGCATCAAGTAGCGCTTGCAAGACTTCCAATCTGTCATACATGGCAGCAAGATGCAAAGGGTTTCTGCCATCTCGATCACGGGCCAAACACATAGAATGAGCAGAATTAACTTGAGATCCTGCATAAAGTAGCTCTTGCAAGACTTCCAATCTGCCATACACGGCAGCAAGATGTAAAGGGTTTCTGCCATCTTGATCACGGGCCAAACACATAATATAAGCAAAATCAACTTGTAAGATTGCTTTTACAAAATCTACATGGCCCAATATTGCTGCTATGTGAAGAGGATTCTTATCCTCGCACTTCAAAGCAGCTTTAGCAAGAGCAAGTGGATCTTCTTGAAGCAACTGACAAAGAGCGGTAACATCTCCTTCCAATGCTGCATCACAAAGCCTTCTGTCCATGGTGGAAGTGGAAGGTCAGGTCACAATTTGGGAAGCAAAGAGAGTTGGCAAAAGAATTACACTTGGGTGCATGGCTAGTGGCGTCAAGACTTAATCCGGCAGCATATTTTTGTTCTACTATGATAGCCCGTAGATTCCAAGAGCCGATCAATATTCCATGACCCGAGAAAAGGTTACTGCAGTATGTGAAATGGATTACAAGACTAGTTAAATAGAATGGGAAATGAGACGGAAGGGTAAGCCCAGAACAACTGTTGTTTGCCACATTCTTCTCTAGTATAAATTCATCAAGTCCACGAAGAACAACAAGAGGAGCTTGACAGCTAGTGGGTCTCGGATGAAATAAATCAACCGGAGTTAGTAGTGCGCCTAGACTTCAAGTAACATCTTTTCAGGAAAAATTGACCGGCTGCATATAATTCTGGGTCAATAGGGGACTCCGCTCTTCTGCAATACTGGGCAACCGGAGTTTTGAATCCGTCTCATTTATTGATTTTATTCTAGCCTACACAGTTTCCTGTTTACTTTAGTGTCAAAGACAAGATTAAAAGTCTAGCCATCGCATCATGAACGATGAAGCGTGCAATGCTAACGCTAGCTTGCTTATTTTGACTTTCCGAGGAGGCTGGAGATTTCTTCAACACCAATTTATGACGTATGACCATATGATGGAGAATAGGATTCATCATTTTTTATTTATTCGCTGCTCAAACTTGAAATATGTGGTAGTATAAGATGGATTCTAGCAGATATCCTGAATGTTTAATTGGCAGCATTACACTGTTTAAATGTGAAATGGTAACGCAGCACACCCCATGGCCATTTGGGGAGCTCCCGATTAAGAATGGCACCAAAAATTACTTAAATCCAGAAAGCTAATAAGCACTACACATGAGCAGCAGCAGCAGCAGCTGAATCCCGAGGTTCTCCTAGATGATTAAGCTGTACAGGATTTTTCCTCTTGAGCTTCCTCCAAACAACTGAGAAAGAGTGGTGGCATCACCTTCCACTGCAGCATCATAAAGCCTCCTCTCCATTTCCCTGTTTTAAGGCTTTAAGTATATCACTTTTGGTTTTCAGAACGCAAAAAGGATTTGTTCGGGGAGAAGGTGACTCCTGGTTGGCTTAATAATAATCTCAAGACTTTGAAGTCCACGGGATTTTCTTTTAAATTTGGGATTCAATAAATTACTTTTACCCATGTGCTTTGATACTTCACCACGTAATGATTTTGAAAATCTATATTTTGACCTACAAAATCTTAATTTTTCCCAGAAAACAAAAGAGATGGATGGGAAATAAAAAATAAATAAATAAGAAACAAAAAAGATGAAAGGAAAATATAAAACAAATAATAAGAAATAAAAAATACCAATTCTTTTTTTTTACTACAATTATCATTATAGGCTTTTAAATTAGAACCTTAATGGTATTTTCTTGTTCTTATTTACTTATTTTTTATTTTTATTTTTTCATTTTTATGTTTGAAGGGAAAAAAGGAAGTAATGAAATGGTAAAATTGTCACTTTATTTGTTTGACTTTGAGTTCTCACTTGTTTTAACCAAAATTCTAATGACGACACTTTAATTTAAATTATGAACGAATTATATATAAATTTTTAAATTAATTAATGACGACACTTTAATTTAAATTATGAACGAATTATATATAAATTTTTAAATTATAAGCGAGAATACTAAACTACTGGAAATAAAAGGTAATTTACCCTGTGAGATTTGACACAACCTAGGTTCTGTATAAGAATGGCTGTACGTGTCATGAGGAATGGAAACAGGTCCTCGTTTGCCGTGTCATGTGCTCAAAAGGAGAACAGGTCCATGTTTGACGTTGTCATTTGCTCAAAGGTCAGCTTCAGAGAACTTAGGAGCGGAAGATTTTGAGGGCAGGGAGGAGGTCAGGACATTAAATAATTCCTAACCATGAATTAACTCCCGGAGAAAATTATAAAATTCAAATTTCTAACCAACAATTCAAGTAATTAGGTTGACAGTAGCCAATTACTGAACCTCCATGAAATGGTCAAGTTTTGGTTATCCAAAGGACCATATTGCAGGTGACTAGACTACGTTTAATGTAACCTATTTTTGCGGCACTGTAAAAAAACTGGCCTTCAACATTCGTTTGAATCAAACAATTATATTTATACGGTTTAGTTGTGGGTGTTCACAAGACATTCGTTAAGATATATTTCAAATATTATAGTTTAAAAATATAAAATTAATTAAAAAATAAATAAACATAAGTGAAATTAGACATGATTAAATCGAAAAAATATATGAATACAAGAGAGAATAATAATTATTAGTATGTGTATATACATAATAGGTTAGATGAATACTAGATTTGTTAACTAGCGCTCTTAAAAAAACCCATATTTATATTTAGAACAGGTGGTAATTTTCCAAATGATTAATTACGCAACGGATCTTCTGTCCCACACCCTGTGCCATTCTCTGTCCCACTTTTTATTATATTGCTATTTCTCCTACATAAATATCATGTTTTAGTTCTTTTTTGTTTACTTAAGATCCAATAACTATTAATTGAGTAAAAAATAAATACAGCAGCTTCAAAAAAGTAATATATAATAAAAAATTAAAAAATACAGCAGAAAATTCATAAAAAATCTCATTTTTTATGCATTTTGATTTTTTGAGTATGTTAAATTTTGTGTATAACTCAATTAATAGTTATTGGATCTTAAGGAAACAAAAAAGAACTAAAACATGATATTTATGTAGGAGAAATAGTAATATAATAAAAAGTGGGACAGAAAATGGCACAGGACGTGGGACAGAAGATCCGTTGCGAATTAATAGGCCAAAAGTTACATAGTGAGCGAATGAATTGGACTAGCATTAGACCAAATTTTGTTGTCACACTTGGCACGAATTAGAGATGTAAATACTTTCTGTTATTAATGGAGAAAAATAGCCCATTATACTAATTCAAATAATCCATGTTGCCTCAAATTGTAGTTTCCGTTTGTTGCATCTCTGATTGCAAAGGATTGTTGTACTTTTCTTTAAGCAATTCAGCTCATCTATCGAAAAGTATTTACTGCTGCGCAATTGCCCCCTGGCCCCTCTCTAATTTACAGCGATCACTTATGATATTCGTTACTAATAATAAAGGTTTTTGGAGGTAAATACGACATAATTATGAGCACTTCACCCTCCAATCAAATCTGACAGCTTAATCATCAATAATTTTCAACCATGGCTAAGAAAAATAGACAATAGTTAAGAGAAAAATTGATGTGGGAAAATCATAATATTGATTGAGTACGTAGAACTGGTTCATTCTGTTAAAAAAAGTTAATTAATTTGAAACCTCAGTAAAAAATGGCAATAATAGGAGACAAAATCTATTGCATTCATTCCCACTAATTGATTCTTATATTGGTATACCCATCAATAAGGCATGGGTTTTGTTACCCATTCCTGCCTCTCATTCCCATGTACCAAACGCCCCCAGGCCACAAAGTTACTCTATTCATTGCTCGTTAAACTCCCATAGATATATGTCTTGCACCAAGGGAAGAAAAACACACACATGCAGACATGCATACAAAGAAGAAGATGAAGAAGAAGAGGTCCAAATCCAACTCAAGAAAACGGAAATTCAGTATTGTACAAACGAAAAACATCTGAAACTGCGGTCCTGAAGGAATCAAAGGCAGGCAAGTTAAACTCAACCGGCTTTGACCTGAATTGTCTTGTGCTTCTTGGTCTGGGGAGGGGGAAATTTCTGAACAGTAACAGTCAGCACTCAGCACCCCATCTTGGGAGACAGCAGCAATGGTATCAAGATTAGCATTTTCAGGCAGCACAAACTTCCTCATGGACTTGCCAGCTCTCCTCTCCATCTTCAAATACTTAACTCCCTCCTCTTTCTCTCTCTTCCTTTCTCCGCTCACCACCAGCACATTGTCATCCTCAACCTGCACCTTGATCTCATTGGCTTTGATGCCTGGCATATCCACCACCAACGCGTAGGAGTCGGGATATTCTTTGATATCAGCTGGTGTTCTTGCCATTGCCTTTGCATCTCGGACATAGGCTCTGGAGGGATTGTTTTGGTTTCCCTTGTCATGCTCCTCGCTCAACTCTAGCATGTCCTGGATGGTTGACAATATCGAATTGTCAATTCCAAAGACCATGTATCCATTCCTAAGTTTCTGAAATCCATTCCTACCTGGATGAGCAGTAGATTCTATGCGATGCTGAATTTCTGTGAAATGCTAATATATTGTTTGTGCGTTATATCAGGTTACCTCGGATCCAATATATACATATATAAACCATTGAAACCTTTGAAAAGTAATACTGCTAGAGATTTCTAGTCTGTTGGCGATGGTAAGTCATAATCTTATATGTCGTAATTAGGCTCGTGGCATGATCTTTCTTCTTCTGGAATAATCAAGAAAGCTACTCTAGCGAAGCCTCTACCTATTAATAGCCCACACAGCCGAAATTCGGAATATGATTGAGCAATTGGTAGGGTATTGTCCAAATGCAATATCAATCCAATCCAGTCTCCTTGTCCTCTTTGGGCTGTAGAACAAGTGTCGACAGGCGATGGCAGCCCAATTTCATTTTCTTCCTTTCTCTTTAGTCAACTCAGCTGATCGTGAGCTGGTCTTACATGTCTAAACTCTAAACCCCCCACGCAACAGTACACTACACAAACAATCACCTGGAGGTTAGAATACTCAACACAGTACGATGTCGTACCAGCAGTAATGCACGAGAGATCATCCCATTAGTAATGCACGAGAAACCATACCAATACTAATGCACGGGATCCATCACTAATACACGAAAGATCATAATACACGAAAGATCATAGCAGCGCTAATGCATCGGAGGAGTTGGGAGGATACCTTACAAATTAAGAAGAACCAGAAGGCATGTATATTGCCAAATAATAATAAAAATAACAGTAGAGTCATAAGTTTCCAATTTCCATCATACATCCACAGGTGCACTTGCAACATTTTTGGTTTTGCCAAAAGGGGAAAACAAGCCAATGAAAGAAACAAGAAAAGTAAACATGACTAGTATTTACACCATTATATTACAATCGAGGAAATGAAAGGCTTGCTACGCAATTACTTTTATTTCTAGTGCAGTGAACCATCAACATACTGATGAAGAACGCCCCAGCCCCGGACAAGGTCCCCAGCCAGCTATCTCACTGAGTTTTAGTTGGCTCCTGACCGTCTTTTTCGGTATCTGCTGGTCCCTGGCTGCCTTCAGTTCTAACTTCCTGACTTGCTTCTCCTCCTCCTCCTCCTCCTTCATGTTGACCTATTTTCACCTCAATCACCTTCGGCTTCTTGGGCTCCGGCGGGGGTGACTTTTCCACCACAACACTCAACACCCCGTCCTGATAAGTAGCACAGATTTTCTCCTTGTTGGCATTCTCAGGCAAGATGAACTTCTTCAGCATCTTCCCAAATCTCCTCTCCATCCTTATATACTTGACACCATCTTCCTTCTCCTTCTCCTTCTCCTTCTCTTTCTCCCTCCTTCGCTCCCCGCTCACCACCAGCAAGTTGCCGTCCTCCAAATGGACCCTGATTTGGTCGGATTTCAGCCCCGGCATATCTAGCACGAAGTGATAGGCTTTAGGATACTCGATGATGTCGGCGGGGGTAGCTTTCATGGCTTTGGTGTCCCGAATATAGGCGCGTGATGGGTGCTGGGGCTTACTCTCGGATGTATCATCCATCACGTCTAGCATGTCATAAATTGCTGCCACCATTGAACTGTCGAGCCCCATATCCTTCAATGCCATCTCCATTGTTTTCTGCAAAAGCAAGAAACCAGTACTATGCAATCACACTATTCAGTTAAGAACTCGAAATCTTTCAAGCGTTAATTAAGAGCACGAACAATTCTGCTTCGTCTCTGACTAGAGCTTCAAATATGTCGATATATATAGATAGTAGATATGTACAGATGATTACCACAAAGCTATGTTGATGCATGATCTAGTCAAGTATTGTGGGACGTGGAATGAAACAACGGTGAAACGGTGTCATTTTGTGAAAGACTGAAGAGGACTTGGTGAGGTTGGGCGGTGAAGTGGCCACGTAGATGTCAAAATTCAGGATTGTTTGCCAGGTAATCCAGGACCTTCATGGCTGGTCTCCACGTAGGTTGAGCACTTCTATTAGAGGGATGAAGATGGACGAGTCCGTGCTTGCTGGGAGCCTTTGGCAGCTTCCCACTTTTCTTACTTATCCTTCTGCTCCAAATTTCGATTTAACCCCACTGAATAATTTTGATTTTCGTTTGGATTGAAAATTTTGAGAAAGGAATTGAAATCTATCTAAATGGTTCTAATTATTTAGATCATTTGAAATACGTTTGAATTTATAATTTATCAATTATTAAAATATATTTTAAATGTTATAATAATTAGTCATTTCCTTCATTATGAAAGGCAAGTTTATTGCACTAAGAAATCCCGTGAGAGATTTATAAATTCAAATACTTTCTAAATAATTTAAACAACTAGAGAAATTTGAAATCCTTTCAAATCCTTACTCATGGAAGAGAGGTTTTTACACAAAGACTAGGGAAAGATCCTGCGCGACGCGCGGGGGTTAGTGCTTGTGTAGTGAAAGAGTTATTGAGCAAGTAATTAACAAATTTCTAAGAAGAAAGTGGAAGAAAGGAAAACAAAAGGGTATACAAATACAAGGAGGTAATCCACTCGTGAAAGAACTGAACTATTGGAGTAATGCTTAACAATTTTGTAACATTTAATTGAGAAGAGATAATCCACTCATCACAAGTTGCAATAAATAGGAATATGTGTATTATCAATAAATCTGAAGAGACCAATTCCTTATTGATGGCTGGCTAGCCCCCGACCAAAGAAATAATAATAATTTATTTTAATGTAAAAAAAGACATATCAAGTTAGTAAATAATCTTTTATTGCAATAAAAAAAGAAAAGAAAAAACCAATGAAATTTGTACACAACCAATAAAAAAAAAAGGTGACATGGAGAGTTTCAAATGATGACATTTTACAAACTTGGAAATTGCTTATGTATTAACACAAAAAGTTAATTAACACAGCAATTCAAGAGTCTGCTTGAATTTTGGAAGATGGAATGAAGAAAGGGAAGCGAAATAATAATAATAATAAAAGAAACAGCAAATATGTTTGGTAAACTTTACAAAATAGTTATTAGATTGATGGAAAATTGAAATTTTTACCCACCTAGCAGATAGTATTTGAGTTTGAAAATGCAATTAATTTTAAATGAGTCTAATAAGTGATCCAAGTCTATCCACCTAAAATCTACTAATTAAATGGATAATTTAATTACCCATCTAGACCTATTTAAAATCTAGTACATTACCAAAATCTATAGACTAGTAACCGACTTGGATGGGACGACTTAAATGAGTTGACATTAACAGCTATACATGTGGCCAATCTAATGCCTAGTTTGGATTGCCATTTTCTCTCAAGAAATTTTTATATTTTTCGTGAACATTTTCTTAATCATCTTTTTATCTCAGATATATCAAATCACTATAGTACATTTTTATCTCAAATACAAAAATTCCAAAAAATAGCAATCTAAATGAGTTCTAAGCATTTGAACTTGACAGCTATACATGTGCCCAATTTAAGCATTCAAACAATCTCCAAGACCTAACACACAATGATTGTTTTTTTTTTTTTTTTTGCCTAAAATGATAGCACTAAATGATTGTTTTGGATTTGTCGCTTTTTAGATCACAAGGCAAGGGCCTTGTTAGATTGCCATTTTTCCTTAAAAATTTTTATGTTTTTTATGAACTCATTTTCTAATCATTTTTTTATCTCACATATATCAAATCGTTGTAGTATATTTTTCTACAAAACTCCAGAAAATAATAATCCAAATAGGCTCAAATTTTCCCTCTACATATTATCTGTTTAATTTTCCTTTCAATTTTCCACCTTTTCCGGTAGAACTTTTTTCTTTTTGCTCACTCAAAATGCCACACAGCCGAAATGATGAAGACCCTCTCATATAAATTGGTGTTGAATGAAGTCTGTGTCCTCTCATGAAGCTTTATCTAACTCTAGTTGCTCCCATTTGATCAGATAGTGGACTATTGGATTGCCATTTCTAAATATCACCTTCTCTTCAAAATTAATTCTAGCTTAAGTGGACACTGATCCTGCAAATCCTGCAAGTTGAATTCTGGCAGTATAGGTGTAATCTGCAATGATGCTCCCATTCTTTTCTGCAGAAAGGATACATGGAACACCGGATGCAAATTTAGCTCCTCGTGATAATTTCAACTTGTATGCAAATTGCAACCTCGCCAACCTTCTGTTATATTTCAATAGGTCCATAGAATTTGGCTGCCAACTTAAGACTTCTTCTAACTGCCACAGATTGCTGTTTATATGGTTACAATTTAAGGAAAACCCAGTCTCCAAGTTTAAATGTTCTTGTCTCTGTAATGTGCTAATCTGCAAAATGTTCCATCCTTTGCTGAGCTTTCATCAAATGCTCCTTAATGCTTGTAGATATTCTTATCCTTTCCTGCAACAGCTGTGCTGCCGCAGGAATCAGAGTCCAAATGGGGTCCCATAGGTAGTAGCACTGACTTATACCCGTATAAAGCCTCAAATGGAGTGAGAGTTAAGTTGGAGTGGTACGTTGAATTGTACCACTATTTTGCTAGTGAGATCCATTTGCTCCAATTTATCACAATTAAATGTGACCTTGCTTAAAAAATCCAGACGGGTGTAGTTCAGTCCCAGAACCCTTTCAGGCCCTCCCTTCCCTACAGTGTAGGAAATTATCGTATAGACAAAAAAAGAGATCCATTTGCTCCAATTGGTAGGTGGCTCTTCAATCATACACCTCAAATAGGCTACAACACACTGATTTAATCTCTCACTCTGTCCATCAGTTTGAGTCTGGTAGGCAGAGTTGTAGAGAGGATCAATTCCACTTAATTTGAATAATTCCCTGCAAAAGTTACTGGTGAATATCCTATCTCTGTCAGACATGATGGACTCGGGAATGCGGTGTAATCTGTATATGTTGTCAATGAAAAGTTGTGACACCTGTCTTGCTAAAAAAAAGAATGAGCTAAAGCAATGAATTGACCCTATTTAGTCAACCTGTCTATTACCACTAAAATGGTATCAAAACCTTGTGATTTAGATACCTTCTCTATGAAGTCCATAGTAATGTGAGTCCATGGGAGAGGAAGTGGTTGCAAGAGAACAGGATAAGGAATATTTTCGAACTCATTTCTTTGACACACATCACAAGTTTGCACATATTTGATCACATCTTGTATAAGGCCAGGCTAATTAAAAAAGTGACTTGATTCTCTGCTACCATCCTTTTTTGTTCAAAATGGCAATCAATAGCTGAGGAATATAATGTTTGCATGAGCTGTAACCGTTGGTGTAATAGTAACTATAAGACCATTACCAGGACCAACATACATCTTCCCTTGATATTTCAATCTTCCTTCCACTAATTCGTATGGAGGTGGTGCAACAGAATCCAATGACAGTTTGGCTATAATGTCTTGGCATCGAGCATCAGACTCAACTCTTTAGCAATTCCTCCATCCACAATGGTTTCACTGTTGAGAGGGCCATGCAAGAATTCATGATTGTAGGCTCAGCTTCTTGGTTTTCAGCTCTCCTTGATAATGCATCTGCCACCACATTATCAGTTTCATTTTTTTTTTAATTGAATTTCATATTCCCAACCCAATAATTTGGTCAAAAGCAGTTGTCAGTTTCCGGTCCAGAAACACTCTTACCACCTCGTTGTGGATTAATTTGAGTTGTTTCATGTTTCCCCTTTAACATCAACATCGGAACAAGATTGAACTTTGGTATCTCCGAAATTGTATCTAACGATTTATGGTTTCTCCCGTTCTTATGATTTTTCAGTTTGCCATACAAGCTGGTCCTATACTAACACACGGTATCTGAAAGGATACACTGTTACAAGGAAAATAAGACACACAAAAAAAGAAAGGCCAAAAAGGGGAAATCATTCAAAATGAATTGTTTACAGCAGAGCTTGAAATCTAGGTGCTAAGCTATAAAGTAGCTTAACATGCTGATTCAATAGCACTTTTTCAGATATATTCTTCACAGCCCGTACATATGACAACTATTTTTGGCATGCTGGGGACCTTGGAACTCAAGCTTAAGTATCTGAAGCATCAGTTCGCACATATATCAAACGATAAGATTAAACTCTAATACAGGGCATCGACAAACTCCCAACTCCATACGGCAGCTTGAAAATCCACAAGAAATTCCAGCATTTGGCTCCAGCTTCATGGCTTGTGGACCTTAAAACCAAAAACCCTAGGTACATAGCCCTGACCTGGCTTTTGTGGCTTCAGATTTCCGTAAGTCATCAGGAACAAATGAGGAAATGTTGTTCCGAAATAGGCTCCATCGATGTCTTGGTGAAGTCAAAAGAACGACAATAATCTGAGCATACAAAGTGGCAGAATATGCAAGTATAAAATGCACTAAACTGGTGATCAGTGCCGACAATGAGAGTTCAAGAACAGAACCAAATTTTCTAGAACTATCAGGAAAGTAAAACAAAGAGGAACACACTGACTCAACAACCATGCGTAGTGCTTATATTACACTGGCAAACAGCAATTATGTAGGTAAAATGGGATTAAAAGAAAATCTTTTGGTTAAGAGGATAAATAATTCAGAACACTCAGAGAACAAAATCATGTGAGAATAATTTTATTCCTTTTCAGGGTTCTTACAAGAGTGATGAGTTGAAGCAACTGGGACGAAGACTTTACATATAATAAGAAACGTTTAAATTGACTTCTCCCATTTATTTATCATGTTTCTGTTAACATGCAATGGCAGAAAAGGAGGGGCCAGAGGCGCAAAACCATTAAGCTGGAGCAACTTCTGAATCCTGAGTTCGCTTCATTTAGGTTTGTGTGTTGAACTAATATTTCACCTGCCATTCCTTTGTCCCTTTACACCTAGCAACTGAATGAATGGTAGAGGATGCGCAAAGAATGGACTAACTTAAAGACCCCAACTTATGATCAGCAGATCCCTAGGTTCAATTCCTGGTGGGATGCACACCCATGAGACCCTCCAAGTCTACTGGAATTGGCTCCGTATGGATGCGATCTTATCAACCATACAGTTGAGGGCATGAAATAGCCCCTCCGACCAACTTCGAGAAATTTGATTATAAAACTCACAAATTCTTTCCAAAAAATTTCAACCCTGAAATTTGTAAAAATTCCACCCAGCACATTGCCCCACTAAACAGTTACAGTTTCATTTTTTAACTACAGTTGCCTGCAAAAACACGTACTCAATTTATTTAAAAAATAGAAGATAAGGCATTTGAAGAAGCAAGATTTTCCGTAGCAGTAGTAGTAACCAAAGCAGAAACACACAGATACTATTTGGCCAATATGATGTGGTAGTCATAGTTTATGTAACTAACTAATGCTCACACAATAAGCAAACAAAAGCGGAACATAAAGACACTAATTGACACAAATGAAGCAACCACAAGATGTTTCACATCAAATGCAATACCAAAAGAAAAATTAAAAAGAAAAAAAAAGGATACTCTCCTGAAACCTGGATCTTGGTGTGTAGATATCTTCACACTTGGGACAATAAATTTTCACTGTGCTTTGACGAGGAACATCAGATGGACCAACTGGAAGGCAAGGTTGTCCACAGCAAAACACTCTGGGGCATCTCCCAAATTCGGCATTCTTGTATTTCTCTAGCTGAAAATGACCACATGCTGCCCCATTATTACAGCAGTGGAATGACAAACTTTTAAATGATGGAACTAATTCTCACCATAGCTGCCAATCCTTTTGTTGTCAGTATGTAGCGAACATGTATCAGGCCATAAAGCATCTCAGCTGCTGATTCAACTAATTCATTCTGTTCCTCTGTAAACATATCTCCTACAGATTAGATTAATTCCACCCTATCATTGGAATGCCAAAAGTCTATGAATCATGAGAAAGATAACATCATCATCAATTCATAGTAAAAACAATACATACACACACGTATATATATATTTTCATATATATATATATATATATATATATATATATATAAAACCTCAGTATGGTGTCAATTTTGAATAAAAAAAGTCCAGTGTAGGAGTCAAATGTCACTGTTAAATCATGAAAAACAAGCAGTTGAAAACTAGAAAAAGACAATCTACCAGTGAGTATCTTTACTTTCATTAACCATGATCAGATAACCAGAACACAACAATTGCTTCAGCTTATCTGGCATAATTTTTTTTCAATTGGATTGGTTTCATATGATGTGAAACACAGCCAAATTAAGTTGATCAAGAAAAAGGCTGGTATTATAACCTGTGTCTCTCATTACATTACACCCTTTACGACAATGGAGGTTACAGACATGTCATCCAATAAATGCTACACTATTTCCCGCACAGTATCAACACACTTTTTACATCAATTAACAAAACAAAGAGAAAAGATACAGAACCTGTTGATTCCTGATCCAACTTCAAAATAAAACACCAATATAACAATCGCTGAACAGGTCAATACCATATGTGCTTATGGGTGTGTTATATTTCACAAACCTTATGCTAAAATATTTTAATCAGTCAACAATTATAGGAATTACATCCTATGTGCTATAACATCTCTGTTAGCCACTAGTGTCACAAGTAAATCGAGAAAATCTTTCCTAACATTTATTGGAGACAATTCAATTAAGTTACATGAAAATTCTGTAAACAAATGTTGAAACACCTATGACCACGACCTGGCTGCTGTTAACTTTTAAGTAATAGTGGCAGACCCAATAAGCAAAAGCATCTGAAAAATCCCATAACCGAATAATTATCCAGTTTGAAAATTTTATAGTATGAACATAACTAAGCAGAAACAGTAATGGCAGCAAGGCAAGGAAATCACAAATTTCAATTAGCATACTTCCAAATGTTGAAAAATTAAATGTTTAAAGCAATTACAGAACTGGAAACAATGACAGGAGACTGTATTTTATTACTAGACAGAGCGGACTGAAAGCAAAGCCTGCTAATATATGCATTTATACACATGAGAGTGTACAATCATGCATCCAAATGATGTGGGAAGAAGTAACATAAAATTATCTTCCAAATATATATGGAAAACTGCTATATATAAACTACACGTTAACAGTTCCAGACACAATATCTGTAAACTCTTTTTCTGCCTTTGTGTCAGCAGTAAGATTATTGTGGTCTTTGACTACAAAAAATATGTACCAAATATATCATGTGAAACTGTCAGACAACTACAATAGTCAGTCTAGCCAAATAGTTTCTTGTTTCCAGATGAAATCTTGCTAATTCTTTCTTTTTCCTCTATCTTTGGGTCGCAAGTAATATCATGTCACTTTTAAAATGTAAATGCTTTCTTCTCTGTTGCCTAAGCTTGAAAATGTACGGCCGAGTCATAACTAGAATGGAGGGGACCGGTACAATGCCAGTCCTGGAATCGTGGATAATTCCATATCCACAATGACTCTCTTTGTCTCCGCTGATATTGGCCGATTCGAATCCCTGATGCATGGAATCGGCCAAAATATCCGTGTCCACTCGGAGTCGACTCAGATTTTTTTCAGATTGTGCCTTTTATGGTGTTTTCTATTTTTAGTAATTTTTTCAGATTTTTTGGAATTTTTTATGTGCCATAATGTGCGTATCACCCGATATCCAACCGATATACCGTGATGGATGTGGAACAACTGTGACCGCGACGCGATCGTGACGGCGAACCATGATTACACATTCAAAACTTAGATTCACAGTCAATTGATGAAATCAAAAGAACATACAGTTTGCTAGCACAATTCTCTTATCGTTTCAGTAAGTAACCTCTTTCAAACTTTGCTTTAATGAATGGTCTACACAGTTGTTGTAGCTGATATTTCAGAAATCAGCCGATTACCACCATCAATTTAATCATGACAGAACGGCATGACAAACTTACCATGAGAAGACTCGACATCCAGAATCAAATCAAGAGCATAGTCATAATAGGGAACTTGGCTGCTTAAACCACAAAGGTTAAAATCATCTTGAATGTAATCATCATCAACTTCACAGAAAAACTCGTTGCCACGAAGATTGCAAAACCATGATATCCAAGATGTGTCTTCCCCATCTGAACCACTAACATCTGACTCTTCACTGTCCGTTTCTGATTCCTCAGCTGTCAATCAAAGCCGTCAGAACTGGAATTAGCTAGATGAACACTGTGAATATAATCCCAAACAAATACATTACTACAACCCAATTATGTATCATCCCATTTTCGTTGTTAACAAAAGTAAATTGCATTTAATAGGATGATAAATAGATTACAACAAAAATAGCAAAACACATGCAGTTAATGACAAAGAGGTCTAGCACCTCAGAATCAAGAGATGAACTTAACAATTACAAAAACAAGAACAAGTTAAGGAAGGAAAAAAAGAGAGGCAGCCACCCGGATGAACATTTTTAAGCAATGCAAGATGGAATTAAAGAAATGCAATTAAACGACTACAGAAAATGGAAAGAAGCAAATGAAATAGAGAAGAGGGGAGGAAAAGCTTTCTTAACCATTTAGTTGTTTTCATTGACTCAGAATGACAGTCAGATTCTTACCATCTCTTTTTCCCGTCCCCTTGGTGATACCTAACAACTCCCATTTCTCACCTTCTAAACAACACAGCCCCCAAACAAAGAAAATAAAAACAATCACTTATCAGTTATTTTCCCTATTTGTACCAATTTCGTATTTAACAAGAGTACTCCACTGCTAAGCCATTTCTGTTATCAAGCTGCACAAGCCTTTCAAACTAAACATTAGCGGTTCAAAGCACATAAAGCCTTATTCTTGAAGGAGCAAACCATCTTAACACTGCTTAAATCCACAAGAAACCATAAATTAGGATTACAAAATCCCACAGCATCGTCAATTCACTCTTCAGAAGCTCGAATTCACAAAGAATGAAGAAAAATCCAAAATTTCGTACACAATGCACACACATAGACAATAAAAACCACAAATTTAGCCAGTAACAAAAGCACATTATGGCAGACAAGAGAGACAGACCGTCAGAGGCTTTGGCGTCCTTGAAATGGTGATTGTCACTGTTAGTCTTAAACATGGACGACGAGCGATGATGATCTTTCCCGTTGAGAGCCCTGCCGGTGGCTGTGGTAGTGGTGGTCACCGACGTAGACGGCGAGGATCGTTCGAGATGTTTATCTAATGCTTCATTAATCCGCTTCCGATCACCCTCCAACACAAATCCAGCCGGCACTGCTTTCGACCCTCCACCTCCCCTATACATCTTCTTCTCCTGCTCCCCTTCTTCTCCGCCGCCGTTGTTCCTCTTCCTCTTCTTCTTCTCTACGCCGTCGTTTTCTCGTACTAATAAACAGAAACAATAGAATTAAACAAAAAAAATCTGAAGAGAGAGAGAGAGAATTAGGGTTTTGGAAAAAGGGGAGGAGAGAGAAATGAGAGAGAGAGAGAGAGAGAGAGAGGGAGCTCAGCTAACCCATTCCCCTTTATTTTTGTTTCTCACTCTAGAATTCGTTCATTTTTGGGCAGATTTTTCAGATTTATCTAATCTAACATTGTACAAAAGCGACTCTGTGTATTAGTGCGTGTTTTTGTCTGTGCCTTTTTATATACAAATGCGTGTGACTGTATGTATATTCTGATTGTGCCCTAGTGTGTGACTGTGTGAGAGAGAAAGCCAGAGAGAGAGAGAGGGGGGGGGGGACGGAGAGAGAGAAAGACCGTGGGAGAGTGGAAAGACAGTGGGAGAGCTGGATGTCCTGTAATATACCGGCGGGAACAGGCAAAGGTAGGTTCTGCTCAGTCTTTTTTTCCTTTTTTTTTTTTTTTTGCCCCCCTGGGGTGGGGAATGTGGTTGGCCGATGGGAAGGCTCAAGGCTGGTCTAATGGAATATTTTCTGCCGAGGCTTAATCATTTGATGTAAATTGATTACCAGTCACAAAAAGATCAATAATGTTTTGATTGCCAATTGCCAATCACAAAAGATCAATAATGTTTATAATTTCGAATTAATGAAAAAAAAGGTATGTAGTTGAAGTATGAAATTTTTAGAAAAGTAAATTATTAATCAGAAAAGGCATATATATAAATATAAAAAAAGGTTATGCGTGTTAGAAGTGCATATACATAATAGGTGTGAATCGAATGTGTTTAATTGGACATACATTACAAAAACTTAATAATATATGCATATATATATAAAGGTCAAATATTAAATGGGCAGAAAAAGTTCTGGTATTAGATTTCATTTCATTATTTAATTCAAGTTTTTAAAACTTCCTGTGGTTTCACTAATTAAAGTTGCCAAATACAAATTTCAATTATTGAGAAAAAAAAAAAATAGGAGTACCATCTAACAGAATAGAATTCCTGGTATCATATAATTTCCTACAATGTAAACGAAAAAAGCTTGAGAAAAGGTAAAATTTGTACATTTCCATCCTAATTTCACACGCCATTAATTAGTCACTATTGCACTCATGTTTAAACGCTTACATAGTAGTATGAGTATGAGAGAGGAAGATGATGATTTTGCTGCTCAGCTTTTCACCCAATGCAGAAGATGAACTTTTTGTGTAGGCAAAAAGTCGTCTGTCCCCTTGACGAACAATAGTAGTGTCATCTAACTCATATGGCTCAAGATTGGGGTATGTAACGTACCAAAGAATAATAGGTACAGGGCAAAGTTCTTCTGCTTAAATCAAGGACGATATGAGCGAAGATTATTCGGACAAAACCAAGACTAATTCAAACTTGTTGCTTCAAAGACTCGGAACTTGCAAGTATCTTTTGTTAGAAACATGAATGCTTAGTTAGTATGACTGAACGAACACTAGCAGCTGCAGGCAGAGGGGCAAGTAGAACTCAAGAATGTGCCGCCCTGCATCATGTGAATTCTAACTGATGGAGTTCTGGCAAGAATTGACAAATATTGGCAGGAGGTTATGCTACATTTACAAGCCCATAGTAGTGTGTGTGCACAGTTTCTAACACACATGACTCATGACTTGCAACAATCAATACACAGCCATTTTAGTTAATTAGTATTTAAACTTCATGATCAAAATTGCTCTCTCCAACTTGCTAAAATTACTAAAGCGATAGACCAGAACTAACATGGACGGGATCGCTGACTTGACTTGACCCAAAAAAGTAAACAAACAAAGGATTACATAATTACATAAGCAAAGTCACAGAATAGGAACATATTAGAGAGAGAGAGAGAGAGAGAAGAGGAACGTATTGAGGGTGCGGTAACTCGTACGGCAACTTCCTACTCTGAATAGCATTTTATTCAAATGTCATCGAAATACTTCTCTTCTGCATCATCATTTGCTTCTTTCATCCAGTGATCATCTAAACTCTCATCCTCGTCAATTTTCGAATAATCCATATGCTGATGATCTTCCCCTGATAAAAATTTTTGCTTCATGATGTAGATAAACTGGTCCATGCGATCTTGCATCTCTTCCAAGGATAAACTTTCCTCCTCAGCAGGTTTACTCGCTGTGGGTTGTCCATTATTTCCAGCTGAAATATCATCTATGGGCACCTGAATATTTTTACACACACAAAACCACTAGATAAGAATCACATCAAGAATCTGCTACTTAAATTGAACAAGGTTCCAGTCATCTAATGACTTATTAGACAAATAGGGTCGCATAAGGAGTTGTACACCATTGTTGTGACCAATCTATTAATAGTCCCTCTTAACTCAAATTTCAGAATGAGATCCAACATAATGGCCATAAGTACTCATCATATATACCAGAATAGCTGCTTCCTCTACAAGACCTAGATGACTAAACTCCGAATTATCAGAGGCTGTAGGAAGAAGGGTGAATTTTTTGATAAGCTCAAGTAAAATTATTCAAAAAAAGGAAAATTTAAAATGCTTCAAAGTTGCTGGCAGACCATAAAAGTCATTGCCCCGATTTCATTGACGCATAGCCAAACATACCAAGACTAGCTTGTACAGGGAAAACATTTCATTTAGAATGCTAAAAACATAATACATTAAAAGTTGTAGCACAAAAACCAATTTAATCAAGTGCTCATCTTTCTCCATTTGAGCAGTAATCAAGAAATTTGGTTAGAAATATCTGAATTCTGATAATATTCGATTTAAAGAAGGTAAAGAACAAAGGGTAAAAACAAAAAATATTCAAGAGAAGCATAATTACCTCCTGAACTTGTGAAGTCCCATTAGCAACATGAGTCTTCATGTATTCTCTCTCATCGTTATTGCCATCTTCTTCCTCTTCTTCTTCTTCTTCTTCTTCTTCTTCTTCTTCTTCTTCTTCTTCTGATTCTGATTCTGATTGTGATTCTCCCTCTTCTTGTGCTTCCTCATTACCCACCCAATCTCTCTCGGCAACACCTAGCCGCTGCTGCTCCCCCCTAATTTTCTGAACTAGCATTGCCTCTTCAGAACGCCTCATCAAAGTTTCTGACCACCTCTCCCCAGGCCTAGCCATGCTCCTCCCACTAGGATCCTGAAACTTCCCTACAAACTCATGGTGCAGGTAAGGCTCTCTTTCCCTCATTTCATCCTCTGAGAAATACTGCCCGTCACTAATTAATTTATCTAAATATGCCAGCCTTCTATTCTTAATTCTTGTAGACCTAGACTTCAACTCCTCCGCTGTTGGACTAAGCACACTTCGTAAGTGATTTAAATGCCAATTGATTTCATAATCACCTTTTAAAACATCAAATTCCTTAAGCTCATCTGGTGTTAATTCTGATCCATATCTCTCTGCAACAAAAAATAACGAATCATGTGAGCAACTCCAAAATATTACCACCAGGCCACAAAAAATAAGTGTAATTTTTCAGCACACATGACATTTTAAAATCCAAGAGCTCGTGTAGTTACAGGTGGAGCAACACCAGGAGCAATGGGGGCAGTTAGAGAAGGGGTGTTCTTACCCAAGAAATACGAGATCTTTAAAGATCTAAGTGCAGTCTTAAGAAGTATGAGGTCCTCAAAGATCTAAGTGCAGCTGACCGCCACTGCAAACTACTTAAATGAGAGTATAATTCACATAGGCTTGCAAGTAAATTAGTAGGTGTCTCTTAGTGATTCTTCTTTTTAAGCATTGCACCTTAAATTGCTGACAAATTATTTTATCAAGTTCATTATTAAATGCAGTAACTTTTTTTAGCATTTAATCTCTTTTATTATGACTAATTTGATGACTTTAGGAACATCAGAGTCCCTGCCTTTCTAAAACAGCAAAAGTAAGCTCAAACTAAATTTTGATGTGGCTATTTGGGCATGACAGCTTGAAATCCTTCCTAAATGATAATGTTCATCTTGGACGAAGAGGGTTAGGGAGAAGGAACCAGAAAACAAGAAACAAGAGGATCAACAAAGAGGAAGCCAGGCGAGGAGAATGGAGACATTAAACAAAACACAGTTCAAAGTCTGAATTAAACAACATTTTTTAGTCCTAGATTAGATTCAATTCGTGGAATGCCCTCTTCTATAATTTCTCTTAAGAATGTATACAATGTACTAGTCACAAATAAATGATAGGCGACAAGCTAATTAAACCACAATCGAATGTACTTTAGTATTTCCACCAAAAGTAGTAGTACCTTTTACCATTCACTCGTATCCGATGCACCAGTACTTCACCTTATTTGTTAAATTGCTAAAGCTAAAAGAAAATCGGTCATTTGACTATAATATCAGAGCATCAAATTAGCATACTTCATCTTAACCAAGTACTAAATGATATCATTCCATTGACAAATTGCATGATAACTTTCTAAAGCATGAATTTTTCATATATTACGAAATAGGTATATATAAAAACGACAAATTGGATCGCCATTTACGAATAATACTATAGGATTAGGGTGAACATGCATACCTAAGAAAACTGCGGCGTCACGAGAGAGGAGGTCAAGGAGGAGGGACTGGCGTTGGGCGGCGGTGGTGGCTGAGGGTTGGATTGCTCGAGGAAAGTACAAATTATCGAGCTTGGATAGTCTCTCGGACATGTTATTCATGGATTCGCTGCTCAGCAGCCCAGTCGAGGTCGGCGTCTCCTCCGGCTGCACCATCTCTGGTTGAAGATGGAAAATTACAGAATCCTAATTCTTCGTTAATCTTTAGCTTCAGAGGCTCTTTAGCTGAAGTAGCCAAAACGAGAAACTGAATATCAGTGAAACAGGGAGAAAAAAAGCGAACTTTATATTATATACATATATATATTTATGCTAACCGCCATTGAAGTGGAAAGGGTGGTCCCCTCAAAAAAAAAAAAAAAAAAAAAAAAAAGGGGTGGGGAATTGGGAATTTAACTCCTCCTTTGGCACGTGCTCATCACGTGATTCTGATAGTTTGTTGAGAAACAAATTACTGTGGATTTGTTTGGATTGAAGGTTATTTGGAAATATTTTTTTGTAGTAGTGTTTAGTATAGCAATTTTTTAATATGTTGTATGTAGTATTAAAAAAGCAAAAAAAAAAAAAGGATTGAGAAATATACTTTGTGAATAATAAATCCCACTATCAACATTCAATAGTTTTCTTTCAGATGATGATACCTAGAAATAGACAAACCTTAAAATGAGATTACTGTCCCCTCCTCTACAAATTTGAATAGCAAAGTGAAACCCCATATCTAACCAAACTGTTATGATGGAATGATAGATACGTCATTAGTATCATAAACAAAACGACATCCATTCAAAAGTTCAAGAAAAATAATCTAAGCTCAAAAGCTATCAAATTAAAATCTCCTAAAATGTGTTGTTTGATAGCTTGTAGATCAGAAACAGATGTACTCCTCCTATCTTTGTGCAATCTACTACTTTTTGGGGCTCATTTCCAGATGCAAGCCTTTAGCCAGAAAGGATGAGAATGGTAATTTGCCAGTAGGGCTGATGCTGTATCAAGTAACTTGACTCGAGCTCGCAAGCTACTCGGTCAGCAGCTCTGCTTGAGCTCGGTCAACTCGGTTTGGCCGAGCTCGAGATCGAGCTCGAACTGCTTGATAGAAGCAGCGAGTCGAGTTCGAGTTTCAATATTTTACACTCGAGCCTAATCGAGCTTTTTTCTAATAAATATTTTAATTTTTACTATTGTGAAATGTCAATAATATCCTTTATTTAAAATTATATGTAAAATATTAATTTTTATTATATAAGCTTGATTAGACTTGATTGAGCTCGAATAGGCTCGATTAAGCTTGATTTGAATTAATTAGATTTAATTAAACTCAAGCTCGAGTAACGTAAATTGACATCAAATTCGAGCTCAAACTTGACTTCTAAAACTCGACGAGACAAGCTCGAACTTGATCTCGAGCTTAGTTATTTTACTTTGAGTCGAACTCGAGTAGTGACTCGAACGCACCCCTATTTGGCAGTGATGTAGAAGAATCTTTAATGCATTTGTGCATTTTATGCAGGGATCATTATTGGAAGATAAAGGAGTGTGTTGATACTATGATGCAAGAACAATAAAATTCTCCAGTTATGTCACGGAGTTCCCAGCAATCAACTCTGTAACACTGGCAGTATCTGGAGTCGTTGAAGTTCAAGCATACAACAGACTACATTATACTACTTCGTTTGGGAACTGGAGGTGGTAAAAACGAGAAAACAGAAAATTTTGTTACAACTTTCAAAAGCCGTCTCCATTCCGTTTTAACATGATAGTACTAGAGAAGTTTTCATCACAATTTGTATAATTATCTTGCAGTCTACTTTGTAGTCTATGAGGTTATTGGGTGGTCATAATTGGTCGACATGGTCAGTGATTGCATCTGGACAAGAGTCTGCTTGCAAAAGCTCCAGGCGTGTGAACGGCGGAGCAAACTGTAAAATGTAGTCTTCATCTGAAACCAAATAATTGAAAACCAATTAACTGTCTGGAACAAGCATTTTTTTATTGCTGACATCACAGACAAAAAGGCAGACAATCTTGAAACCAAAACCACCAAAGAAAAGGATGTTCCAAGGCTTCTTCAACATTTCCTCCTTCCATCTATTACCGCAGCAACCAAATAAAAACTTCGAATTGAATTAAAAGCATTAAGATGTTCTTACTCTCTTTGACTGTTCCATAAAGCCAGCATAACACCTCATCAGCAAATGCCAGGCACACTCCACCCTGCCAAGCCCGTTATTACAGTCAGGAATGAACAATTACATATAGCCATGAACATTGTCATTTTAATTGCCATCTTTGCAAAATACAAGGGCCCAAATAGGAAAGAGGGGGGAGGGCTGCCCACACAGTTCATGACAGGGGTCGTAAAGATGATGTGATATCACAAATTAATGATGACTGTGATTTTATTTTCTACATGAAATGCAGCATTTTCCCAGCTCATTGCTGTTACCTAGATTGAGTGGTGACAAAACTCCCAATCATATTTTCATCACAAAGAATATTTCCTCCCCCCCTCAACAGCAGGTGGGAAGCTCCAACCAAAACTATAAAAAAGAGTGAAAGGGAAAATGGGAGATATAATTTGAAGGAAATGTGAATGAGCAAAATCAAATTCTCTTCTCTTTTTCTTAACTGGCTCAAGTCACAGGATATGGTGATACCTTGACATATGGCTAGCAAAAGCCAAATTCATAACTTCTACAACACCTTAAGCTAAGCTATCCAATTTGGCATTAAATTCATTTTCCAGTGGACGAGATACAAAAGTCATGAAATACCACGAGGGTGCATTTAAATTACAACCTCAGAAAAATAATAATCAAATGATGAGAATGAAAGACTGGCATACCCTACCTGCCAGTAATTCTTCATTTTTACTCTTCCTGTAACCTCTTTGGTTCTTAGTCTTTCTGTTCGGACAAGTCGGCCACCATCATCTCTGAATCAAGAAAATATTATGAAAATAATCAATATCACTTGTGTTCTACCATGGTTTATTTACCTTCAGAACCTACTACTAGCTAATGAAACTGCATACAGCAAGCTGTCTCTTTTTGCAGGCTTAGAGAGACGGAGAAAAGATGTTATCCAACAAGAAAGGACAAGACCATTGTATCACATGAATTACCTAAATCCAATAACGATATAAGGTACACCAGCTAGAAAGGACTGGATCTGCAAGATAAGAGATAAAATTGCTTACATAAAGTCAAACAAGTTGAAAGACTACTAATGACAACATATACCCAAAATCTTAAACAAAAGAATCACAAATTTATCAGGAATGAGATCACTTTTACTTTAAAAGCCAAAAGAAACAAAAGAAAAAAAAAAGCACAAAAGAATCAGCTATTGAGAAACTACAAATGAAAGGACAATGCTGAAAAAAAAGGATAACGCTCCTACGAAATGACTACAATAAACGCTCTGTCTCAATAGTGCAACTTAGCTGTAAACAGAAAATGTAAGCTCATACAACTTCCACAAAGTATATAAACATCACCAGACAAGAAATCCATCATAAACAAAACAAGCAGATTTTGCATTCTTATGTACATGTTAACCACAAAAAGTAAAAACATTAGCAGACAACAACTGACAACTAGAAACAGGACACAAAATCCATACCAATGAATACATACCCAGAACTTAAGTAATTTTTCCCTCTCAAATCTTTCCTCAGTATGATAATCCAGCTGTAGACAGCAGATGAGATATGAAATTACATCAAAAATACTAAGGAAATGAAAGAGGAAAAGCAAAAACACAATTCCATCAGACTTAGCACCTCACGACTTGTCTTCAGTTCTACATAGAACCTCCTTCCATCATCAGTGGAATCACAGCAATCCATTTCAGCGCCCATCAATATGCGATGTGCTCCCAACTTGGTTTTAAGTACAGAGCAATACTCAACATTTGCATCAACATGATGAATCCCTTCTCCATCGCCTCTAGTTGGATCTTCTGTAGCAAGGCTCTCAAAACAGTAGCCCCAGTAACACCTAATTCAAGCAATGGCAGAAAGACTTAAGAAATATACAGTGGAGAAGAATGAAGAGGTGAAAGGCAAGGCTCTGATAGTAATCAAGTTATTCAGAAGTGCTGGTAAGGCAAATTCAACCCCCCCCTTCCCCCCCCAAAAAAAAAGGAAGAAGAAGAGAGAATGGTTTACGTCCGAGACAAGTCCAAAAATGTCACCTCTAAAGTCGAGAAGCATAGGAGAGCCTATATCTAGCCAATCCTCCCTTATCTTACCACATATGCCGCTCAATTACGAGTGCCATGAAAGGCAACTATCTACAACTACAAGAATTATTAGTATTGTTATTTATGTTTTGCCCATGGAAGATCACTGTGATGGTGTTAGAGATACGTTTAAAAACCGATTTTGCACATATTGGCACCTGTACATATTCATGTACAGACCACAGAGAGAGAACGAAGTCTTGATGATTTTAGTCTGACAGCTCTGACAGGACAACAAGAATGGTAATCTTATCAATTAAGGGAGTTTTATATTAACTTCTTTTTCTGTCTTTAGGTAAATTACATCAAACAAACCAAATTAATCCAAATGAAATAATGAATCAGTACATCACTGTATCAAGTTCCACGATTGTATTTCCATCTGCAAATAAAACATCACATCAACGTCTTGCCAAGAAACTAAATTTGCAGACTAACTTCCATGTCTGTGTGCTGATTCTCAGTGATTTAACTCCTGTTCTACTTCATTCTGCACAAAACCCTGCCTAAAAGAAAGCCAAAAAAAAAAAAATCTGGCCAGCATTGAACTCAAAATATGACTTTGACATTCAGGATCACAACAGCACAAGAAAAACAAGAGGTAACAGTGTCCAAATATTGAGGTGGCACCCATCCATCTTAGATAGACACCCACACCAGAAAAAAGTGAATTCTAGACATCCCCAGACTTTCTGATGAGAAACAGAGAAGTTAAAGAGTTGAATGATTTAAAAGTGATAAAGAAAATTTACCTTCGCCGCTCCAGCTCGCTTTGTGGCCTTTCTGGCAATTTATGCACGTCAAGATACACGACACCATTCCTTTTATGTACCCCCATCTCCCAAGGTTCATGCCTTATATAAGCAGTAGCCAATATCTACAAATTAATGAAATCATCTGTCAAGTAGCCAATAGTGGTCCATGGAATAAAATGGCTTGTAACTTGTATCATTTGATCAACATCACAGCCATGCAGTTACACTCATCAGAATATTAAACCTATATTCTAACACAACCTTAAA